GTAGAGAATGGGTCAAAGAGAGCGTGCTGGTACATCTAGGTGCTAGACTATCAGTTAGTCATTTAAAAGACCATAAAATACGTTATTACATGGTGAGACATTTGCAGTTTATTGTATTTTAAAAAGCAAGCTATAAAATATTAAGGACAGTGTGATGTTTTTTGGCTAAAGTGTGTGTGTGTGTATATATATACACACACACACATATATATAATATAGACATAGATAAAAATCTGGATTGGTTTACCTTACTATGGTAACAATAAGTGGGGAGAATATTATGAATGCTTTTAATTTTCTTATTTTTGCTTCTCTGTTTTAAATTTTTTCCAACAATGAACATGTTTTTCAAGTTCCAAGCTTTGTTGCCTCCTGCTATCTTGCTTAGTTCAGCAGGTCTGTGCTGCAGACGACATTCACTAAACCCTCAGTTAACAAGGGTTTTTGAGTATCCACCGTAGGCCAGACACTGTTCTAGGCACTGGGTGTAGAGGTGAATGAGATGGACGAAGCTGTTCTCATAGAGCTTACATTTTGGTGGAAGGAAAATCCAAAATAAACACATAAAGAAGGTGGGGTGGACCCCACTTCCAGGTGAGGTGTCTGTTTCTGGGGAAGCCACTCCTCCTAGCAACATTCATTCCCTACTCCTTTAAGCGCCCTGCAATCTGAGGTCCAACGTCATTTATTGGGATAAAGGCTGCTTATCTCTTGTTAAAGTGCATGATCTCCTTAGGGGTCAGTGCTGTGTCGACACTGGTAATGTATCCCTTAGTATGAGTCATTTCCTGAAAGTAGATTATCTGACCTTGAAGGGGTGAGCGGGAGGCAAGGAAAGTATATTGAGGAAGAGCTGGGGGTCACAGCCTTGCCACTTTCAGAAAAGGAGAGGACATGAAGGTGGAGTCGGGTGGGGCCTGGGTGTGCAGGAAACACTAAAGTGCAGATGCCACTGGGGTCCAAACTCATGTCCTTTTGGAAGTTTCCATAAACTGATCTTGGTTCTAGCAGTTTTCCCATAGATATGAAAACAAAGGTCACTTTCTCTTCTCTGTCCCTCTCCCAATGCTTCCCTTTCAATTGTTCAAAAAAAATTAAAAAAAAATTTTTTTTTCAAGTGTAACATAACTGTCATTGATGCCATAAGGCTTGGTTCTCTGGATTCTCTGATACACTTTATCAGATGACATTTCTCCTTGTTTCTTCTATGCAATGATTAGGAATTTTTTAATTAGGGATTGTGTTGTAGTTACACACGTAGGCACTCCACTTCTCTTATAAAAATAGGTGATCATTGAGGACAGAATTTATGTCTGTGGGTCAAGTATGGTTCAATAACAACTTTCAACGGACACAAAAATTGTGTCCTCATGATGGCAGTTTCCGTACTTATCAGGTGTTTGGTAAGTCATTTATGGCATGAAATGAATGTAAAATATGCTACATTAGGGGTGTCACCCAGCCATCCACACTGGGATTTCACTCAACAGCTTGTTGCCATGGATCCCCTGCCTTTCCCATACTCACCTCTGCGCCACAACACTGAGGAAGAGGCAAAGCCTGGATCTGAAAGTATTTAAGCCAGGGGGCTGGCATTTCGCCACATGGTCAAAGAGAAGATCTAGCTGCCAATCTGACAGGCTCAGTGGGGTCAGTACTGTGGCAATTGTTCCATAATCTTGTGTATATCAAAGGGATCTTTATTTTTTTTGAGGGGAGGGGAGGGTCAGGAGAAAGAGAAGTATACTTGGATGGCAGGAAATTTCAAATACCAGCTAAGTGGTCAATAATTGAGTTGAATTTAATAGGTTTCAGTTGAAATTTCCCCCCTAGCCAGACTTTTAAGGCCCTTGAACTCTAGGTAGAGAGAGTTGAACATTTCGCATTTTTACAGACCATGAGAGACATGAGACAAACCCAATAATTCCTGGAGGTAAATCTCACCCTCTCATAACCCAGATCAACTTCACCCAGCAGTGCGGATATTCTAAACCCTTCTTCACCCCAGTACTTTATTGTTTCCTTAGCAACCTGACAGCTTGGGGAGCAGGATGGGGAGGCTACAGTAAACAAAGTGAATTACAGCAGCAGTGGGTGGCTGGCAGAACGGACACCGAAGATGGAGGGACTTGATCTTGCAAGCCAAGGACAGCTTCTGTGGCTGAGGCACTGCAAAGCCCAACACTGTGAGCCCAACACTGTTTGCAGGAAGGAAAGAAGGCAGCCAAATGAATGAGGAGAGGGAGAAAGACCTCAAATCCAAGATCTCAAATTCCCCTTCCTGCGAGAAGGGGTCTTGAACATTTATGGGATTTTAGGGAGAGCATGGGTGAATGGGATTGGAAGCTAGAAAGGGTGACTAAAGGTCAAGGAATTGTTGATCTATGCAGGCGCAGTCCATTGTCATGCTTTTTCCTACATCGCCTGTTCAAAGATGGGGTCTTCTCATGATCAGGGGGCGGAGACTTCAGTCTCCTCCTCGTCAAAAGGTCACCTGTGGACATTTGCGCAAGCCCAGTAAGAAGGTCTTGACCCATCTGAACTGGATGGCAAGTGGGCCTCTTAGTTCCTGGAAAACAACTAAAGCAAGTATCATGTGACTTGTACCTCTGGGAGCTGTCATCTATAGAAGCCGTTATCCATCCTTATGTGTCCCATGGGCTGCCTGCTCTTCGGAAGCAGGCAATTATGAAGTTTATTGTTTAAAAAAATGGACCTTCGGTTATAGTTTACTTCCCTTTAGCTACCCTAAACATAAGGCAACAATAATTTAGCCTTGTTTAAGTAGATTAAAAGTAAAACTTTAATTGTAAAGCACCGATTTCAATCTTACATGGTTTCTTTTTTCTATTTCTCTTCTTTTTTTTTGTGTGTGTGTTTCTCATTTCTTTCCCTCCTAATAGGCTTGACTGTGTTTGTTCTTATATCTGTGCAGGGCAGACAGCAGAGCATTGGTAAGTTCCAATTTTTGGAAAGATGGCCCAGGGGAGCCTGGGTGGCGCAGCGGGTTAAGCCTAGGACTCTTGATTTCAGCTCAGATCAGGTCTTGATCTCAGAGTTGTAGGATGGGCTATGAGCTCAGTGGGGAGTCTGCTTGAAATTCCTTCTCCCTCTGCCCTGCCCTCAGATAAATAAATAAAAATCTTAAAAAAAAGATAACTCAAAGAAAAGCAAAGGGCGAAGAGTCACTTTCCCTAAACCATGAGGTTTGACCATGATTATTTTTAGATACTTGGCATTTTTATTCTGTTATTATTATTTGTTTCCAATATTCCACTGGTACCAGTGATGCCCCTGGTCACAGGCAACACACATAGAAGTGCTGTACAGATGTTTTAAGAGGTCAGTCTTAATATACGATAGTGTTGAGGCATCTGGTCCTGCTTTCTACAATTTCCTCCTTCCACTCCACCTGTCATACTTTATTTCCTGGTCAAGATCCTTGTTTTGTTGTCGTTGTTTAGTTCTCCATCAGGAGTGAATAAATTCTAGAACACACTCCCCTGTGGTGTCATGCAATAATTTTCAACAGTGATGCAAAAATAATTTTCCTTCATTGTTTGATATTTACTGTGCATGGACTGTGTGATCTAAGCCTTTGAAATAGAGAACAAACAGATGAAAGCCTTTGCATACTTTCTTCTTGGGGGAGAAATGATCACTATTGCACACGATACATTAAGCAAGTGACATACTATGTTAGACGGTCATAAGTGCTATGAACAGAATAACGTGGAGGTGAGGGCGACATAAAGTGAGGCACGGCATCTTAATTTTAAAATCAGTTTGTAGGGTGTACCATACTAAGAAGGTGACAATTGACCAAAAGTTTGAAGAAAATGAGGGACAAAGTCATTTTGAAATTCGGGCAAGGGCATTCTGAACAGAGGATGTCAGCTTTGGCAAAGGCCCTTGGTTGGGGCAGTGTGGCTGGTGTGTTTGAAGAACATGAGCAGGGAGCTGGGGCTCAGGCTGGACCACAGAATGCACTGGAAAAAGGGTAGGAGGTGGGGGCTCAGACGAGGCAATGGGGTAAGGGTGGGATAAGTACGTTGGCTTTGAGGCAAATGGGACTGTTTAGAGGACTTGGGCAAAGGAGGAACTGGCATCTTTTTTTTTTTTTTTTTTTTTTTAATATCCTAAAGAGAAGAGGGAGACCACTTAGGAGGGTACTATAAGAATCCAGGCCAGGGATGAGGCTTCTCAGACCTGGGAGGTCATGGTGGAGGGGGTCAATGGTCAGATTCTGGATGTATTTATTGCTAATAGATTTTCTTGATGGGTTGCGTGTGGAGTTATAAAACAATCTCAGTACGACATACATGTGTATGCTTGCTTGGTTATACTGGAACATGGTAGATAGAATATATACCAAACTGTGAATAATAGTTACCTGGAGGGCTGGCAAGGATGGGGTGAGGAGAATTTTGGCCTCACAGTTCTATATTTCAGTGTTGTTTGGCCTGTTGCAAATCACACTGTTGTTTTTTTGTGGCATGGAATCAAAATTCAGTAACTTCTTTGTAAAATGACTGATCCTTGGCACTCCTTTGACGTGCCCTCACCCGTGTTTAAATATTGGTGGGGCTCATGGAGCAGGTTGTCCCTGGCTCATTCCCCAATCCCCAAAGCTTGGCTTTGGCTGCCCGAGTCGGTTTATTTTCACCCTCTGCCAAAGTGCTTGGCATGACAGGGACGGATGTGTACCCTTTGGCCTCACATATATTAAACACAAAGAGAAGATAGCATCTCTGAACGCTTTTGCTGTCTGTGGTGGCACTGGGGTCTATGAAGGAACGCCTAAGCAATCTGGGTGCTTTGTGCCTGCGGCTGTCTAGTTAGTATCTGGGACCATTAACAGGGGGGAAAAGATGAAGCATGATGCGCTCAGCGTCTCAGCCAAGAGATGGGGGGTGGGGGTGGAAGGAAGATGGCTCACCAGTGTTTCCCCTTGAAATTTCTTTCTTACTTTTCCTTTTCTCTGTCTCTTTTTTTGCAAGTCTGATGAAACCAAGATGACAATCAGAGGAGACAGCCGGAGTTTTGTCCTGTGACCTCCTTCCAGAAACATTCCTGCCTGGTTCACAGAAAGATCATCGTGGTGAAAGGAAGGAATGCTTTCCAAAGTGCAAGGACTTAACGGAGCCTTTGTTTATTCTATTCCATGGGTGGGGGGTCCTCAGTCTGCTGAGGACTTGCCCTCACCCACGTCTCCCAACAGTACTTCTGGAGTGTGAAGGTCATTGTCTTCTAGGCCCAGAGCTTGGCTTTCTGCCTTTTTGCATCAGATTTTACTCTGTGTTCTGCTTACTCTGCTAAAGGTAAACTTGAATGAAGCATTCCACCCACTTCCCCATGAACCCGAGGTTCTTTAGGGCATGGGGGACACAGCATGCCTAGGGGACAGTTCCGAACACTCTGGTCAGGTGTTGCCTGGTCTCCATCAAATTTGCCAAAACCTCCCAGGTGCCACTGTGTCAATGTCCTTGTTCAGTCTCTGCCCCGGACTTGTGTACGACATCCCGTTTGGCGTGCCGGTATGCACCTCACCTTTTGAAAGAAGAGGTATGGGCAAATTACCCATTATCACCCCCAACATTAGGTTATTGTCAACTTATTACTCCTTTTTTTACAATAGTGATAAGGATAGCATTAAGTAATTATAAATTTATTTATAATCATTTCTGAAAAACCGTACCTCTATGGGTAAGCCTCCTGGGGTCTCCGAAAGTATTCACCAAGCAGGATTGTTCAAGAAGCTCAAGAAGCAGTGATTGTTGTTAAAGCCTCTCAACTGCCTTGTGAGTTACCTATTGTTATCATACTCACTTTACAAAGTGAGTGTGATGAAACAGACATGAAGCTTCATGACCCCAGGAGGCTTACCCATAGAAGTCAGTTAAGCCATGCATGTAGAGAGACTGTGTCTGGCCACAGCAAGACTCAATCAAGGCCACCTAGCACTTTGTGTCCCCACATCAGCATAACTTTGAAGCGAAATAATTTCACAGGAGGGAGGATATTTCAATATGAAGCAAACTCTGTGAATAATACTTATGAAGCGAGCTTATTTGAATTTGTCAACATGTTTCTGCTAAATGAAAACAGCTGGAGAGCTATAACTTAAGGCTATAATTAAAGGGTGAGTTAAAAACAGTTCCTGCAGGTCAGGTGGTGCAGAGAGGCCTCACGGTGGGCCAGGCACACTCACTTTTGCTTTCCGTCTTCTTAATGGGACTTGAGAATGCGGTGGCTTCCAGTGCTGGAAAAGCAGTGTCCCTGGGGTTTGTGACCAGTGTGTGCAGCAGGTTGGATGACAAGCAAAACGATGAAGGGGCATTAAAATCACTAGAACGGGGGCGCCTGGGTGGCTCAGTCGTTAAGCGTCTGCCTTTGGCTCAGGTCGTGATCCCAGGGTCCTGGGATGGAGCCCTGCGTCAGGCTCCCTGCTCAGCGGGAAGCCTGCTTCTCCCTCTCCCACTCCCCCTGCTTGTGTTCCCTCTCTCTCTGTCAAATAAATAAATAAAATCTTTAAAAAAAAAATCACTAGAACGGTGATTTTTAAACTTTTAAGTTCCAGGAACCCTATACACTCTAAAAAAATTATTGAGGACCTCAAAGAGTTTTTTACCCCATCCCCCACCCACTTCCCTTACCCCCCTGTCTTTTTCCCCCCTCTCAGCTGTGTGGTTGCGGAGAATAGACTTCCTCAGGTTATCTCAGAAAAGGCAGATTTAGTTTATAGCTACAAGTGGCCTGAACTTGACCTGTGTAACTCTCCCTGGCTTAATTTCATGGGCTACATCTTCTCTTTCCCATAACGCCTACCCATCACCATTCTTTTCCCTCCTTACTCACACTTCTGCTCCCTCAATTTCAAACTTACTCATGCCTTCTCTAGGCTCCTTCTCAAACTCAAGACATTTTAGCTTAAGCTCCTGTGGATAACTGCACATTGATGTCTTCAAGCTCACATGGATAAGAGAAGAGCCCTACTTGGTCATATTTTTGTGCCAGTCACGGCATATTCACTGGAGACAGTATGGATCCGCTGCCCTTGGGCCCAGTGCCCCTCTGAGCCCATCAGCTGGGAGTGGTGGGCTGGGTTACCTGGTGCAGAGTGTACTTCTTCTGTGTTCTTTCTAAGGTGGCTGAGAGTTTACCCTACTTTGATTAAACTTGCACTTTCTTTTGAAACTTCCACATATTCGCGGTGTTCTTCAGGGGCTCCTCCCTAAGACCCCAATCTACTATGAAGTGTGATGTAGCCATGAAACAAGTAGGCTGGGGAGACACCTGACTGAATAGGTTAGGACTTGAATCCTGTCTTGGTCACTGGCTCCCTGTGTGACCTTGGATAAATTATTTAACTTGAGCTCAATGGGAAACATCATTTTAAGAGGGAAATGATATTTTAAATGGCTTCTTTTTATTACTCTGTGTCAAGCCTTACGGTGATTCATGTGCCTACGCAACCATAAAATGTCCAGGAATGTCATTTAGTGGTTCTGATGTCACCACACTGCTGAGGTTTGAGTAGTGACCTCTTCCAGCCATTGTCAACATCCATTTTATGGGTTCTCAACTCTTGTTAGCCTCAATCTTTGATCTGGAGCCAGAAAGTCATTATATCGTGAACTCAAATGAGAGCCTCAAGTTGAATATTTTTTTTGTATTCCAATTTAATAAGAGATATTTTTTCTTATAATGAAACAGCTACCTATTTCCTTAATCCAATGAAGTTCATCAAACAGGCAGTATAAAAGTAGCTTATAAAATTTTCAATTACTTATATAATGTAATGGCTCATTTTGTAAGTGAAACATACATTAATAATAGGATCCTGAAGAAAACAGTTGAGAAGAAGGAAAATGATATCAAAAGCCACAGTGATCTTGGTTATAGGGGTAGAGTTTAGTGATTCATTATTTGCATACAACATCCAGTGACTTGCTTATTCTCAGAGACCATGCCTCAGTCATCTGGGCTCCAAACCACAGAGTCACCTTTAATTCATCTTCTCCTTCATCCCTGAGATCTCACGAAGCTCCAAATCCTAAGATGCAACCAGATTTTGTCCATCACACTGTGGCCTGGTCCAGCCCAGGGACATTGACCAGAAACCCATGGCAATGGTATGTGTTTTATCAGAGGCTCCTGTTAAGTGTGAATCAGAGCTTCTGCACACGGGAGTGAGGCTGGGGAAAAACTGGGAAGCAGCTCCTCCTTTCTGATTCTGCAACAGAATGTCCAAACCTGTTATATATGAAAGCTTCATTCGGAGAAGGGTCTGGAAGATGTTTAAGGGAAGTCAAAATCATAAAGCCATGAGTGTACCTCAAGATTTGAGTGTAGTTCCTAAGAGGCAGCAGATCATCCCTAGAGTCCTTCCTAGCCTAAGAGATGTGACTGTGTGCCTTGTGAAGCTATGACATGGAGAACAACTACAGATCTGACAGGAAATTGCTGTAGATGGGAATTCAGCATGAGGCAAAATGTCTTGTTTTGCTGTTCTCAGCCTCCTGGGTCTCCAGGGTTCAGGGCTAAAATGTTGGAGATTAAGAAATGCAGAGGAACGTTATGACATGTGTCTGCAGGTCATTTCTTCAAATCAAGGCTTAGACAATCAGTTTCTAACATCTATATTGTGAAAAATTTTCCTGGACTAATCCTGTGGGTTGAGAGAGTAGCCAGAGGTCAATATTTACTTCATTGCTCCCTTTAAAGGCTGAGCTACAGTGCATTTAAAAGAGTAGGGAGCTGGCCTCAGGGACATCCAAAGGTCTCTCCCTCTCCATTATAGATGGTCTCTCTTGAGCATCCCAGCCAGGAAGTTGTCTTTTCAATAGACTTGGTGAACTTGGAGCTAGCCTTCAGACCTCCTGAAGGGCCTGCAAAGAGTTCCCAGCCCCTAGGAAGCCTGGCAGGAAGCTCTGGGAGCGGGGGACACATGTGACCCCCTGTTCTCTCAGCTTGTGGTTCTAGGATGTAAGGTCAAAGTTGTGGAGTCTGGGGAAATCTGAGTAATGTTATGAAACACAAGCTGTAGCCTGTCCTCCTCATCCTGCCCCAGATTATCTGCTTCTGATAACTGTGTTGTGGGAACCCCTCCCAAACTGATTTGGGGAATCTTCAGGAACGCTCTTTCACTCAGCCTCACTCCAGCATGGACAGTGTGCTTTTCAGGGATTGTCCAGAAGAGCCAGTGAACTTCGAGGACCTCTTGGCCCTGGGGAGTCTGTTTGGGGTAGCAGGCTAGTCACATTTGAAGGTTTGGAAGATCCTTTAGGGAACATTAGCTTGGTCACATCGTCTTGGAGGTCTTTCCCATAGCTTCTGGCCACAGGACTAGTTGCTCATTGGTGGGAAATTCTTGGTGGGACTAGAAATGAAGTTTTGCCTCCGTTATGCTGGAGTTCCTCTTTCTATCCAAGATTATGAGTTCTGACTTTTATGAGATTTTTGTTTGCTTTTTTTTGCCATTTCTACTGTTAAATTAGAAATTCTTTTAAAACATTTATTAATAGTATTGTTTAGTTTCTAATGGAGAGAGATACTGTGGGTGCCTCCTCCATATTTCCATGCATGCCATCCAACTTCTTTTAGCAGCTTTATTGAAATATAATGGATATTTTACTAACTGTACATATTCAATGTATAAAGTTTTATGGGTTTCAACACATATACACATCTGTGAAACCATCACCACAATCAAGATAAAAAGCATTTCCATCACCTCCAAAAGTTTTTTTCTGTAAGGGCTCTGGTGGAGGAGAACTTTTATGGCAACAATAACACTACTACTACTACTACTACTATTATTGTGTACTTGCCTGGGTCCAGTGAGTGTTATATACTATTATTAGCCTTATTTTTCGGATACAAAAACTGAGGCTTAGGCAGGGCAAGGCACCTTTCTAGAGCCACACAGCCACAAAATATGTGACCTGAAGGTCATCTTCCTTTTAATAATTACTCCACATAAAATTGTCCTGTTCTCCTGACTTTGCCTTTGATACTGAGCTATGAATACTCCAACTATGATGAATTCTCCTACACAAGCTCCTGAACATTTTAAGAGGGAGAAGAGTATAATTTTTTTCTTACATAATTTTTTTATATCCCTCACCTCGTAATTCGTTGAAGAAAAGGGAAGAAATTCAGCAAATTACAAGAAAGAAAGAAAGAAAGAAAGAAAGAAAGAAAGAAAGAGAAAGAAAAGAAAGAGAAAGAAAAGAAAGAAAGAAAAGAAAGAAAGTAAAGAAAGAAAGAAAAGAAAAGAAAAGAAAAGAAAAGAAAAGAAAAGAAAAGAAAAGAAAAGAAAAGAAAAGAAAAGAAAAGGGCACCTGGGTGCTCAGTCGTTAAGCGTCTGCCTTCGGCTTGGGTCATGATCCCAGGGTCCTGGGATCAAGCCCCACATCGGGCTCCCTGCTCCCTCTCTCGCTGTGTCTCTCTCTGTCAAATAAATAAATAAAATCTTTAAAAAGAAAGAAAGAAGAAAATAAAGAGAGGGAGGGAGTCAACACCATTCCACTAATATTTTGAGATTTTTTCCCTGGAGTATTTATCTAAGGTATGTTTGAAGCATAAAATGTCAAAACTTGAAATTTTACTTGAAACTCCAGTAGCTTCTCTAACCTGGCTGAGAATGTATAGCTTGTTTAGAAATTCCAATGGGGGTGAAGGTCAATAGGTTACAGGACTAAGGTTAGAACATGTGTGTGAAATAGAAAGAATATGAGGTCTTGGAATTTGGAATTCTGCAAGCTGGTCTCATCTGGCTCAGGACTGTGGGCAGTGGAAGGTGCTGAAAGCACAAGTCGTTCTGGAATTCAGGTGGAGTCCCGGAGCTGGAGGGTGCCTCAGTCTTGGAGCCTCTGCCTAGGATCTTCTCGGTCTGACAGTTCTGATCAAGTCAGCTAGGCAAAACCAGTGGATACTAGTCACGTTTCCTTCAGTGACAGAGGGAATCATGATGATAGGTCATTAGCATCCAGCCGTTTAGCAATTGTCATTAACAACATGGTGTGGGGGTAGGTGGAGAGATAGGAACTAGGAGGACTGGCCATTTGTTTCTTATATATTTTCTTCAATATCTCTTCTTTTAGGGCGCCTGGGTGGCTCAGTTGGTTAAGCGACTGCCTTCGGCTCAGGTCGTGATCCTGGAGTCCCTGGATCGTCCCACATCGGGATCCCTGCTCAGTGGGAGGTCTGCTTCTCCCTCTGACCCTCTTCCCTCTTGTGCTCTCTGTCTCTCATTCTCTCTCTCTCAAATAAATAAATAAAATCTTAAAAAAAAATATCTCTTCTTTTACATCCTGGGGTAGACCTCTTTAGACAGACAATTTTGGCATCTGATTATCTTCTACAATTTGTGTTAAGAAATTTCCTGTGAAAGAACAGTTTCTTAAATTTTCTGCAAATAGAAATTCAATTACACCTAAAAAACAATTTTTGAGAGGTCTTTTGTTTCCACCGCTATGATAGAAAATTGTGCAAGATTCTAAGAAAGCACACAACTTTATTTTGACTTTCGAAGATATAGTAAGGATGCAAGACATAGAAACGTAGAACAAATAATAATGGAAGATGTTATAGGTCTCAAAATTATAAAGAATGGTTGTGTTGGAGATAAGAGACATCCATTCCTCAGGACATTCCATTTGATGGTCCCATGGCTCATGGATTTCCAGCTGTAGGTCTCAACTTTTTAGTGGGTTGCAAAATTTAATTAAGTTGATTATGTCTACCATTTTAAAAATACAGTAGAAAATATCAAAGTGTCAGGTCAGGTCATGGACTTTTTTTTCCCAGTTGTAAACATACACATATATGCACAAGTGTATGTGATGGGTTTCTCTATAAAATGTATTTCTTCACATAGATTCAATCAAACAAGTTTCAAAGATGCTCCTTGAGCCAAAATAATCCCCAAACTAGATCTTTGTTGCTACCATTTATTAAATGCCTAAAAATTTCCAGGGCCATTAATAATGATGCTTTAAAAAAGCTTTTTAGGAAATTACAATAACAACATGCCCAGTGCATGAGTCAGCCAGAGGACAGTCTTCATAACAGCTAGCATTTCTTGAGCGCTGCTCATGTGTTGGACATTGTGCTAAATATTTTTCATATATTATCTAATCTACTTCTCATCACAATGCTCTGAGGAGGCTACTATTCTTCCCGTTTTTCAGATGATAAAGCTGAGGTTTCAAGAGGTAGAATAAGGGGCGCCTGGGTGGCTCAGTTGGTTAAGCGACTGCCTTCGGCTCAGGTCATGATCCTGGAGTCCCGGGATCGAGTCCCACATCGGGATCCCTGCTCAGCAGGGGGTCTGCTTCCCCCTCTGCCCTCTTCCCCCTCTGCCCTCTTCCCCCTCTGCCCTCTTCCCTCTCGTGCTCTCTGTTTCTCATTCTCTCTCTCTCAAATAAATAAATAAAATCTTAAAAAAAAAAAAAAAGGTAGAATAACTTGCCCCTGGTCACTCAGCTAGAACTCAATCCCATGCCTATCTGGCTCTAGAGACAAGGCATGTCACTACCATACTACATTATTTTCCAAGAACAAATCCCTCATGGAAAGCTTTTGTGATTTGCAAAACTTCCTTTTGCTGTCTCCTTTGAAATGTTCTTCAGTTAGCACTAGGATCATTCAACCCCTTTTGATTGTTACAGAAGGCCGATAAGAGGTGTTTCTATGGTTATGGGTATGTAGGTTGGGGTGCTCTTGGGGAAAGTTGATTCCTGCTCTGATTCTATAAGACCTGTTTCCTCCTCCTACAGACTTCTGCCCTGACAGGCCCAAAGTCTCAGATTCTGAGGTAAGCCTGCCTATCCCCTCTGAATGAATGAAAGGTAAGCTATATTGCTAAACTGCTCTCCCTCAAGAAGGAAACATGGACACTGGGACAGAGATCCGGGTGTGGAGGGCCTGGTGCCAAGGGATGTGAAGTTGGGCAGAGTGTTGAAAGGGAGGCTGAACAGTGGAGACACTTTTATCCCCACTCAGTGGGGATAAAGATGGTGAGAGCTGTAGGCGAGCAAGATGAGGACTCTCTTCCATCTCCTCTTTGGAATCTTCAGGAACATCCTCCGCCTAATGCATTGTAGGGTTGAGTCTCAGTTTTCTGAGTATATAAAGAAACAAATTAGTACAGTGTGAACACAGATCTCCTCACCATGAGATAATCAATATGTATTCTCCCTCTTCCCTCCCTCCTCCCTCTTTTCCTCCCTCCTTTCTCCCTCTCTCCTTTCTCCCTCCCTCCCAGCCTTCTTCTTTCTCTCCCCCCTCTTCCCCCTCTCCACCTCCCTCCCCCCTCTCTCTCATACCCACCTACTCATGATACATTGTATATATTTATGGAAACATTTTCCTTACATAGATATATAATGTATGACAAAACATACCAAAGTCTTAACAGTTTTTAGCTCTTCTTAGTAGGATTACCAATCATTTTTATTTTTAATGGTTTTGGTGTTTTTTTTTTTTTTTGGTATTTTCTAAACTTTAAGGAACACGTATTAAATTTATCTCCAGAAGAATCGCTTCTTGGCCTTTTGGCTAAGATCAAGTGAAATTTATCTCCAGAAGAAATGGAAGCAAATAGCTCTTTATCGGCCATTTTCCTCTTAGAGTTTTAGAGGGAGGAAGACTTGTGAGGACAGGGAGTATTTGAGAGCTATTTGGGGGATGCTGGCAGGGAAACCAGGGCTCCAAAATCTTCCCATAGTCCACTGTCACTGAGGGATGATTGGTTAAAGGCATTAGAAAAGCATAAATATAGCCTTGCATTTCCTTCCTGAAAGCCCTCAGGGGAAAAGGCAGGGAGTGGGAGTATAAATGGTGGGGTGATAAGACAGTTTCCCACGTTCTGTGTTCAGAAGGAGAAAAGAGGTCGTGTTAAATATTAGAAGGTGGAGAAACAGATATTGAACACTAGCTGCTCCTGCATTTTTGTTTTACCTTATTTTAAAATACTATTATCATACTTGTGTGTGTGCGCCCCCCCTCCCCCCGCCACCGCCTGTGCTGAATTCAGAGGGTCTGATTCTCTAAATCTCAAATTGGCATTTTATAGAGGGTTTGCTTCATGTATGGGCTTGTTTTTTGGGTTGGGGGGGTTCTTTTGAGGAGAGGTGAAGATGTTAAATGAAGAGAAACAAGGAGAAAAGGAGAGGCCAGACAGAAGGTCTGGCGTCCTTCGTCCAGTTCAAGGAACATTTAGAAGTGCTCACTTGAGAGTAGCCGCTAGCAGTTCAGGGTAAGAGCAGATTGAAGAAGAAGGCGGACACCCTATCAGTCCGGAGCACGGTCTACTACAGCGGGTATCATCCCAGCAGCACCTGAGCATCACCTGGGGCCTTCCGAAAGACACTGATGCCAGAGCCGCACCCCAGTCCCCTTGATCAGAACCCCCCGGGTAGAGTCTGAGCATCAGTACTGTTCTAGTAAGTGTTTAATTTTAATTCGAGTAGAGTTAACATACGGTGTGGTGTTAATTTCAGGCGTCCATCGTGCTGATTCAACACTTCCACACATCACCCAGTGCTCATCATGACAAGCGCTTTCCCCTATTTCCCCCATTTCCCCATCCCCTGGTCACCGTCAGTTTGTTCTCTATCGTTAAGAGTCTGTTTCTTGGTTTTTCTCTCTCTCTCTCTCTCATTTCCCTTTGCTCGTTTGTTTTGTTTCTTCAATTCCACATATAGGTGAAATCATACGGTATTTGTCTTTCTCTGACGGACCAGTATTTTTAAGAATCACTCGAAGTGACTCTAATATGCAGCCAAGATTGAGCACAACAGTCTAAAAGCAAATGTAGAGGGGGCAGGTGGTTGCAGCTTCACGTACCGTGAGCTATGTGAGGAACGTGTGAGTCCTGCTTGATGAGGACCGAGGAGGAAGAGATCAGTTTGGGCTTGGGACGAGATGCCTCCCGAAAGAGTCACGGAAGAAGGAAGACTTAAGCTAAATCTGGAAGGACTGGGAGTTGACCAAATCAGACAAAGACGGTGGGGTGCAAAGAGCTCAGCCAGTGCCAAGGCCCGGAGGCCTGCCATGCTAGGGTACATCCTGGAGCCGTCTGGGAGCGGGGGCGGTGGGGGGGGACAGACAGTGTACGAGTTTGCTAGGGCTGCCGTAACAAACACCGCAGACTGCATGGCTTCAACGGACAGAGATTTATTGTCTCGTGTGCAATGAGCACGCAGCACGGAGCATGCAGATGTGGTGACGTGTTCTAGTTCCGCGGGCCTAAGATGGGGCAATGCAAGAAAGCTTTTACACATACACGGGGAGCCTTGCTAAGACTTGGGGGCAACTGATATGCCAGCTGGGAATGGGAAAGGGCAACTGGATCACAAAGTAACTCAGGGGTGTAACTGGGAGGTTGGTAGTGTGTTTAAACAGAAACGGAGAGGCCCATCTTTCAGGGGGGAGAGTGAGTTCAGGGTCAGGTTTGGTGGGAATGAGGTGACAGAGGACCTCCTTCAGCAGACCCCTAGAGACACAGAACTGCAGCTGGAGACAAGTTGGGGCTGGAGATGTGGAGAGGAGGCCCACCACGGGCAGCAGAGAGTTGAAACTCTGAGCTGTTCCTGGCCCAGAGGGAACAGCAACATCAACAAAAAGGGGCAGCAGGGAGCTCGTCTGTCTCCCTGTCCTTGTACACTAATCCTCTCCTATCCCCCCAGAGCACAGGAGCTAGGTCAGGAGGCCAAAGATAAATGGTGACTTGGCTTCTTCGCCCAGGCCAGCTAGGATGGCTGTGACCACTAAGACGCTGGCTCTCTCAAAGGCTGCCCTGGGCTGTGTGAAAGTGTTGGAAACCAGTATCCCAGGGCTGGCAGGTGGGTTGTTCTGGGAGGATTGGAAATCTGAGCTACCATCAAAAGCATGGCCATTGAGTTTCCCCTAACAGATATTTCAACATTCTGCTGGGCCTCTCAGAGGAGAAAAATACGGCCTCCAGAGTACTGAGGACTTCCATGGGTACAGAATGACTCTGAGGCTTCCTTGGGAGGTCCCTATAAAAGTCGGCTTGCTATTTCTCCCCTCCTTTCCACAAGCAGATCTTGCTTAAAGCCTGTGCTCCACAATTTGGGCCACGAGGCTAGGAAAGCTCCTTGAATGATACATGGAAAGAGTACTGGATTAACAGTTAGGAGACCCAAGTGCTCAGTTTCTTTCTTTTTCTTCTTTAAAAATTTTTTTTTCTTTATTTGGGGAGGGGAGGGACAGAAGGAGAGAGAGAGA